AACTGTTTAGCCCTGTCTTTGGCACTCGTTCTGTAAGCCATTGCCTTATCTTCGAGTTTATGTGCGAACTCTTTGGTCCGGATTTCGGTCTCACTCTTGAGTTTGTCGTAACTTTTGTTCGCTTCGGCTCTCAATTCGTCAAACATTTTCATCGCTTCGGCCGAGAGATCGATGTCTTCGGGACGTATGGCCGGAGCCGACCCTCCCTTTTCGCTGTCCTTATGGGCCGAATGTTTTGACTGTGATTTGTGTCCACTATTTGATCCGTCGCTACACTTTTTTCCCGTCATATAATGCTTAATGCCAGCGAAACCCAACGCCCCCACCACTAGACCGCCGATTATAAGCCCTTTCTTACTGTTAGACTTTGCAGACATCACTCGGGAATCAAGTCTTTGAAACAAAATACAAATTTGAGATCAAATTAATTCAACGGTTTTAAAGTCAAAAACAGTTGAAAACGAGAAGTGAATCGAAGAGTTGTTTACAATTTAATTGTTGGCATTCATAACAATACAGTGTTTTATAATTGTGTATAAATTTACAAATAAATCTCATTTTATTACAAATTAATCAAAATCTATAATAAGTACAAAATAGTTAGCATTTAATTCAGACCACAATCGGACCGTAAAAGTTATCGTAATATTTTTTGTCCACTTCTTTGTCCAACTCTTTATCAATCATATCATAACTGCTTTCATCGGCGGTTGTCCTCAACGACGATGTCTTCAACAATGTCTGCACCAAAAGTAACGGCAATAGAATCGGAAGAATCAAAAAGAGAGAGACATTCATCGTTACGATCCCTTTATTCTGTTCAATGAATACACAATTAATTGTTTTAATTGTTTTATAATTATAAATTAATGGCAAATACCTGTTGACCACCACTACTACCGCCGATACACTTTCCGTCACTATTTTTGCACTCAATTTGAATCCTTTTCAACATTTGTTTATTCATTTCAAAAGCATTTCTATCATTAAATGCTTCAAATGGCTTTAAAAGTTGCCTCAAATTTGAACGATTAAATAATTTGTAAATCATATCAATTTGTTTAACACATTGTGTACTCAAAAATACAATTTTTGAGGCAAAATACTTAGGAATAGGTTTTTTATTTTTTAAAGTGGTTTGTTTTACAGTGTATTACACTTTTTGCTACAAATTGATACTCCGTTTCAAACGGACTATTTGTATAATAATTTTGAATTTAATTATGAAAATAATTTAATTATTACACGTTTTAAATAGATTTTTATATCAAAATAATTTCTTTTGATTACTTGTTTACTATCCGTTTACAAACTATTACTTTTTTATGCGATTACATGACCCTGTTCCCTTAAAACAATCCAACCTAATCTAACCTAACCAACTAATTAAATTTATTAAATAATTTACATTTGAAAACAGAAATAATTATTAATAAACCATATATTCTGAAACTTAAAATTTAGTTTACATTAATTTAATAGTTTGCTAACTAAAAAACAGGGTCGGCGAGTAATTTCTGAATATGTAAGACATCCTTAAGAAAATCAATGATAACTCAATGGCTACACAAGAGTTGTGTATAATTTATTTGGCAAAGTATTAAATTACAAATTATATGAAATTATTAAGTGTGCGCTCAAACACACGACTAGTTTAGACCATTCAATGAGACATACAGTGTGTTTGTGAACATATCAGGCATAATAGCCCCAGAAAAAGGATCCGATCGCTACCACAAGAATTGCAAATAAATTATTCACTGATCGCCAAACGGGTGTCTCTTTGACATCGTTGGCGCAACGGATCGCATCCTCCTCTTTGGTCAATGGTATGACCCCTACCTCTCCATCGTTACCTTTCTCTCCCT